CGTGCTTGAAAATATTTGCCGCAAGGCTGGATGGAACATTTATTGCATTATCACACAGAGCTAGCCCCAGGGTCTACGTATGATTTAAGAAAATAGCTAAATTGAAAGCCTTAATGAGTTAACGATCCTAGATTAACATTCGTTCATCTGTCTTAATCTCATGAGTACATATCCTGATTGGGAAGACGGCTGGTCCCTGTAAAGCTGTAAGGACAAAAATGGATGATGAATGGGAAAGACTTCCATGGCTCGGGACCAATGGCCCTTGCCCAGATCGTCGATCTCACTACCCCGTCTTGAACGAATCCGGTTATCAACCCCGATATACTTAACTGTACTAGGTTCTGGAAGAATTATCATAGCCGCAAGTACCTAGCTTCAATCTCAGTGCAACGTGATGACATAGAGAATATTGAAAAGTTTACGATGTGGTGTAGAGCTTCTTACATTCTAAAAAGGTGTCGGTGTCATGAAACGGAAATGTGCCGGCAGGACCAAGGTTTTTAATAAACGAACATTGTAGGGCTGACTGGAAAATCTGTCGATCAGAGCCATCTACAACCCCAGCATCCTCATCGTTAACGTCGTATCTTTTTACAAAAGGATCGCGAATGCGCGACGCGTCTATGCACCCCATATTCTACACATATATATTCACAAAGCGAAGAAAAATCGTCGCAGATGTAACGTAGAGTTAAAGAGACTATGTTTTGCCGTTTCAACGACCCATGAAACCCTGCTTTCATAGTTAAGTCGCTCATCTACTAAATATATAAAAATTGAAACAAAAGGAATGTCCAATACGATTGTGAATATAAACGATAAAGTCCTAATATTAATATCGTCGCTATGGGGAGTGATGACATCGATTCCAGGAAAGTGATCCGAAGAAAAAAACGTGACTGCTCATCAAAAAGCTTGGATTAGGGGTCGAGATCGACGTAGGCAGCATGGGTCCTAGGACGCCGTCGGGGGAGTAGCTTGCGGGAGCCGGGTGACATGAGATCAGCATATAGTGCCTTAGTGTCCATCGCTTAGAGAACATCCCCAGGTATTCCATGTCAGATGGGGTGGGGTGAGTTAGGTATACCTATGTAATAACTCTGAGAAAACCAACAGAGTGGATAAAGCAATTTACACGCTGTTTGGTAGGATGTTCGCGGGAGAGAGCGTGTAGATTGTTCTGCTACCCACCTTCATACTATGTAGCTATGTATGTATGTAGAACACCAACATATATTATCATTAAAGACAGGGATTAATATAGAGCCTCCGAGGTAGTTCCGTTTTTAAATAACCATTTCGAGTTAGCTGAGCATGTTTGATTTATTGCTTCGAGATCTATGTAGTTTATTTAACCCATAACTAACATACTCATACGAAGCCTCACGATACCTTCTTAGATCAACACCATCGTAATTCGTATTAGTTAAGTCGAGCACAATACTGAAACGAAGCTACGTGTTTTAGAGAGGAAGCTTTTGATATAATACACTATTACAAAACACGAGCAATGGCCTGACTTGGGTACGGCATAGAAAATGATTAACCTAGCTCCCTGGTAAGTGTGAAGCTTAAACGTTAATGTCCGCGCTATATATACCCCCTTTTCGTATACCTATGTATATGATATGTATATGAAGTACTTCCACGTGTATAGCAGCGTGAGATTAATATTACTATTGCCTACTCGCAAGCGCTAAGAAACAATTACCGCGTGGTAAAAACCCGACTCGATAGCAGTTCCTTTTAAGTTCCAATAAGCATCAAATTCAATTCATCTGACCAACTTCTCATGCTAGGCATAAGTTAGGTTAGGTACACAATAGCGTTAGGCCTTGTTATATCATAGGTTAGGCATAAAGAGGTACCTACCTACCTACCTACCTACCTATATAACAAATAAGGAGAGGAGAAGTCTAGGTTGGCCTACGTAAGTACTACGATAGCGGTTGGGTACTATCATAATAGCTCCTGATATACTAACATGTTCTGGCGTTCTTCTGGCGTTCATCTAGCGCGCCGTTATGCAAGCCTCAACTCAGTTTCCATGCTTTCAAGCGATCCGTACACGAAGCTAGTAGAAAAAAGCAAGCCATCTTAAGACCTCACGTGGTTTCTAGCTTCTCCCCGTCGCCTAGACTTGCCAAGCCTACTTGTAGCTTATTCGTTAACGATTCTAAGTGTAAAATCTAAAAGCCGCCTTCGGACTTTGGTGTAGTGTAGTGTCAGTGTAGTGTAGTGTAGTGCATGACGCGGCGCGATCGTAAGGGCAGATAATTTCACTGTTGGCCAACTTGACGGCCGTTGTTCTTTACGAGCGTATATGTAGATTCATGCAAAGGCTCAGTGTCCCAGCATATAAGCTACGGAATTATCACAATAGGTACTACGGATTAGATGGAGTTTGCATATGTCTCAATTCAATCTATCAAGTATCATAAGTGTTAATTAGTTACCTACCTATAGTTAGTTAGCTAGAATTCAAGACAGTTTAAGTTCTTTAGTAACTTGGCTCGTGCCAGATAACTCGGAACTGGCTTATTCCTTTATGCCATCTCTTTACGGGGTGTCTCGTCTTGGGTGCTAGAGTGTCAGGGAGACAGGGGTTCGTAGGCAGGTCTAAGTAAAAGAGGTGCCGTCCCGAAGGGGAGTAGGCTGTCGATCATAGACCACGTTGAAAGTCAAAGGCATGACCGAAGAAAAACTAAAATGGTAGTCCCAGGGTAAAATAAACCCTTGCTGGCCACAGACCACCGTGCCTAAGCGAAGCAGATTCCTGGAGCCAAGTTGTCGATCATTTGAGATTGGCATTCGTTTCTGAAAAAAGCCTCCGAATGTTTCTTGAAAATATATATTATTGCCCATGTTGTATCGTTATGATCGTTCAACTGTTCATAGAAACAATGCCTAGATCTTATTAGCAGATCGGCAACACTAACGTCGATGATATATGCATACTCATTAACTCCCGTACCATAATCTTACGTCCTAGAGCTAGGCGGTGTCTATGGATCTAAGGGTATTACGTATGAAAGCATAGGCCTTGTTTAATGAGGCTATCTCCTATCGCCAAGGATTAAGTGGTCCCTTATGGAGCTGGAGCTGGTCATGGTCATGGTCCTGTCTCGTAGTGTAGGTTTACCGTTCTACGGAGCTTGAGATGCGAAGACCCTTTCCTCGGCTATTCCCATCCCACAGGTAAGGCTCATCTCAGCATCCTACTTTTAGTGTCCTATGACGACCTGGCAGATGCGGGCGGTTGTGGTCTGATTTGCAACCAATAGATCCTATTAATATTGATATCGATCAAGCTAGATGGAATCATGACCGCCTTAAACTCCGTAGACCGCCTACGGAACCCATGAACGAACACGTGAGAACTCTTTTAGGACATCTTTTAGGCAGTCCTGACCGGCTGGCTCTATTGCCTATTGCCTATTGCCCGGTACCCGTTGCCCATATACGAGGGTCAACCGTTTGAGCAAAGATGAATATACAAAATAAACACATAAACATCAATACGGGGGTGCACGGGATTGTTCGTCTGTTAAGCACGGCAACTTGTCTACCGAAGGCCCCCTTGTTGCAGGTCTCGATCAAAGCTCTGTTGCCGCTGTTCCCGAATAGGTCAGCCCAAACATGACCCTCGCGATAGACAGATCTGACAATCTGCAGCATGGTCTAAATAGATCAAAACATCTTGGGGCAAGAGAGGCTGTCATCCGAAAAGAATGACAGACGCACGGAGAAGCGTTGTAGCGTGTGTGTTGTCAGAGCTCGTGGGGAGGAACGGCATAAGATCAGCTTGACAATCCGGTCACAGCACAGACTCGGCAGGGCTTAAAAGATAGTATCAACGAAGCTTGCGGCACTAACCTCAAGTCTACGGTCGTCTCTAGTCGTCTCAAGTCCCCTACCTCCACATGAACTAAACCAGGCCCCTTGTCCGAAGTGTACCAAGACAGGGGTCACAGACCAACTATCCGGCCGGCATTATACCCCTAAGGGGAAATGGTGACCCGGATGCGCCATGCACCCAGCAGTACTATAACCACATATTTCAACGACCGTGCTAGCCTTGGCTAGCCAAGACCTTAGAGAGAGGAGGCAGAACAGAAGGAGAAGAAGGGATGAGCTTAAACGGTCCACCGGGGATGTCCAGAGTGCAGAAGACCACGCACACGGACGTCTTATTAGACCCTTGCCGGTGCATAGGCGTAGCCAGTAGCCGTTTGACCTTCAGCGATCCCACGAGAATCCCAGCGGAGCCGTTCTCCTACGTCCATCCTTCGATCTCACCCACATGTACATACCTACCTACACTTACACTACCTGACTACACACCATAGCTTCTCCCATCAATACATACCTATGCTACAATACATACGCTACAATACATACTGTACGTACTACTACCCTTGCATCAGCCCATACTTGGGGAATTGGGACCACTAAAAAGAGGCGGGCAAGCATAAGCAGTTCCAGAGTCCCATCGCCGCACATGGAACTCCAATACATCAGGGCTCATCCATTAATAGGGGGCGCTATAAGTACTTGCCGATGATGCAGGAGTACCTTCGATACCGGCGATCTACTGTTGATTTCAACCCAGGTCTGCCGTGACCCACACCCAATTTGTGACAGTTGTTCTCCAGGGATTATTGTATGGATTGACGCTTGATCGTCATTTATATTATACCTCCCGGGAAGATCTGATAGATACATCGTCAACCCTCGTAACTCGCCCACCACCTACCGTCTATACTTAAGTATCCACACTCCCCGTACATAATCTCAAGCTCGTTGTACTACGAATCGTTAATCGCCTTTTACATACCGAGGATTCCACGAGCCAATATATCTTTGTCGAATAAACACAGCAACTAATATATACGACTACCGTCGAACCAAATCTCTAGTTCCTAATATCAACAGCTCAAGAATCTTGAGTTATACAATAGTTCGCCAACATACATAAATAATATCACACATACACGATGGCTACAGCCATATACACGAACCAGCCTGGTGCTCAGTACGGATACCCACAACCGCCTCCTTCGCCTCCAATGGACGAAACCTCGAAATGCTCTCTTCCCTCGATCTCCAACTTATTAGTAATGGCAGACGGTGGATCGCCAACGACTGAGCAGTCGCCCCAGTCTCAGCAGGGTATGAACGGGTTGAACAACTTTGTTATTATTATGAAAGGCACTGTACTAAACTCCGGTGTAGCACCATCAGTGAAGGTAGAGACTCGACCGAATTCGGCTCACTGTGCGAGCAGCGCTCCTCGAGCCGCTTTACCTCCTACTCCCCCTATGAGTTCAGATGCGTCCTTCGATGGCTACAACTCACCGTCGACAAGATCAGTTTCTGTTGTATCGGGGCCAAACTACTATTACGAGACGACCCCGCCGCTAGAAGATGTTCACCGCCATCATATGGCGGCAGCGGTGGCACCTCGTATGTCCATGCAAGCTCCGGCATATTCGCAACCCGCTTTTACTGCGCCATACCTGGGTCAGGCGCCAGTATCAGCTTATTATCCCGCCACTCTCCCGGGAGTTCAGGCAGCTCAACCGCAGATCTCGGGACTCTACTATCAGAGGCCATTGCCACAGGTTTGTCTAATTCATGGTTCGGTGGATAAAGAGGGACATAAGCTTACCAGGCAACAGACGTTTCCTCCCCTACCAGTAACGGTGTCTCTAGCGCCAACTCAAGGGGGCAACCCGTGGCAACACCATCATTACATTTCGCCATCATCGGCGGCATCTTTCCCGCAGTCGCAGGATCGTTACATCTGCCAGACCTGCAACAAGGCGTTTTCGAGACCAAGCTCGCTACGAATTCACAGCCACTCGCACACCGGCGAGAAGCCCTTCAAGTGCCCTCACGCGGGCTGCGGAAAGGCGTTCAGCGTACGAAGCAATATGAAGAGGCACGAGCGCGGATGTCACGACAACGGCAACTCTCACCACTAAAAGCACCAGCCCAGAATCGACATATAAACATTCGACGCTGTTATTATTTATTGTTTTATTCCTAATGTGGACTTAGTCTTGTGTGGCTATCCGAACTCGGGCAGAGGAGGCTGGAAGGACCAGATAGTCGGGGGGATATGAAGGACGCATTTGATACCCAACCGGGGGGCTACGTTACGAACTTGAACGGCCGCCTTCGTTTCTCAAAAGCACTCGCTGTTTTATTTTTTTTTCGCTTTCCGACATTGTTTCGCCTACCTGAAATACATATCTGAAATTAGGACCGTATATTTTCGGCTGTTGGGATGAGTTGGCGGGAGAGGCTGTCTACCTTTTGCTTACTGGGATTGGGAATTGCGGGATAGGTACGGGTTGCATTTTATCTGTGCAGGATGTGACTGTTCATTGACGAGGCGCATCGGACTACCAACTCGGGGCATTTACACCGGCGTTTACGAATCATACTGAGAGGGATATATGTTGGAACATCCAAAAACAAGAGCAATCTTACCCTCGTTCACGGTTTTCCACGGATGATTATTATTACTATTGTTTTGGATATTTTTATCTAACTAGTCCTAATGTATAGAAAGAGGACTGCAAAGAAAGGAGGGGGGATGAAGAACTGTACCAACAGAGCAACGGGTCAAACCCAACGCAGATCTCGGTGGAGAGACGGGCGAAATAGCTTCTGTATGATGGAAGATGAATCTAGATGACTAAAATCGGCATAGCTTTAACCTAGGCAAGTCGTGAGAAGCAGAATTAAGAAAAATATCAAAAAGGTGTTCTTGGCAATCTTGTTCCTGTGATTGTGGCTCTAAATTTCGATCTCGACTTGTGAAGAAAACGCTAGCAAGACAAGGATCATTACTCGATAAAGCGTACACTACATAGATCGGGTTGCTTCCTTCATCGCTGTGGCTGGGAGAAGGAATATCAGTATGCAGGTAACCTTGTTTCGATGTCGACGAGAGCAGCCCCTGCGTGGGGAAGTTTGCTCTAAGCTCTAGTTACTATGTAACTACCTACCTAAGGTATGTAAGCTCTAAGCTTTTGTTTTGAGATTTACGCAGGGGTGAAACCCCAAAGACCGAAGTTAAACAAGCTTATTACTACGTGCAGTGACACAGGGAATATCCTATTGTATAGGAGACCATAGCGCTGGCCTAGGAGGGATGTTTACAACTAAGCATAGGAAGATATTGGCGGCTGGCTGCAATCGAATAACCCTAGTCTATAAGCTAGTCTATAAGGGTATGTTATAGACCGGAGGTTTCAACGCTCAGGCAATTTGTTATGTATGTGCACATGTATATTACCATTGTAGGCAAATGACAACAGACGTAGTAAGTTCTACATACGTGTAGTCATTGCGGCACTCATCACTTGCGTATTATAGGGCCGAAGTCAACTTAAAAGAGATATTATATGATAGAGATATATCATTGCTATTCCTAGTATATCAAGTGTTTATTTTCTTGCGGGGCTGTGATGTTTTAGAGTGTAGCATTAACATCACTCCATCTAGCATCTTGCTGATCTCGGTATCACCCCCAAATCTGTACTATCCGTACCTACATAAACCCAGCAAGGCATGTAGCAGGCGAGGAAAGTGTGTGTTTGTATTTATTTATTTCTAGATCACCAGCCTCTCACCCCCTTGGCGCTACGACACCATCACGTTCCGTTAGTTACCTGCGAAGCACACATGTTGTGACCGCGCTGTGACCCAACCCGCACAACTCTACGGAAAATGTAACATGCCAGCCCGCAACGTGTAACTATACGATTACCGCAAGCGGACGTCCCCAATCGCCTCGTAGCCGTAATCAGAAGCTCCATTACGTTTTGGAGGGGGAAGCGCAAAGAAAAAGGGAAAGAAAAGAGGGCAAAATACCACCCAACCCGTCGTCACCATTTTTCTAGCTTGCCAGCTTACCAGCTTGGAGCAACTCCCATTGCATAGTAATGCGGCGCTACGGGGTTAGGCGAGCTGGAAATACGTAGGTGAGTGCCTATTTCATAATAGCGTTTCGTAGATCACCGGCCTAGCCCTGGTCAGTCGCGTGGTAGATGGAGTCGGGATACGTCTTGGCAATGCCAGGCATATATGAGGCTTTTTCTGTGGGGGCCGTTGTATGTAGGTAGTTGTTAGCTACAATACAATACGTCTACCTACCTATCCTACCTATGTAATAAGGAAGATTAGAATTCCATTTCCGTCGGGGACTTTCGAGGACTGGCCTGAGTGGGCGGGGGGGGGGGGGGCAGGGGTTAAGTTACATAGTTAGTTGATGATTTTCATCAGCAATGTTGATCATGCTGAGATGAGAGGTACCCAGCATGTCCATGCTTTCTTTTACATACCGTATTCGCCTTCGTATGTAATATCGTACCTTTAATTACATGAGTTACTCCCTACCTATCGCCCACCTCCTTATTATCCTTATTATATGTAATGTATGATTGTGTTACCGCGTCTGCAAGTGAGATGGCAGACGCCTCAATCTACGGATTCTACGGATTTTATTGTATCTCGTGTTTTTACACTTCGCATTATCATTCATTGAAAGAGAGTGCTGAATATCTTAGGAGGTACTTTAGGTAATTAACCCCCTTTTCTCCATCGTGATATTTTGCATAGTCGTACTATGTAGGTACATATACAGAATTTCCTTGACCGCATCATCTATCATGATACTATCTGTCCCTTTATGTGTATAGACCAAATCGTGAATGAAGCATTCCTCTTGAATCAAACCTCTCCATATCTCCTCGATCCCAGGAAACTATTACGAGGTACTTCCCAAAGCATCGGGCTTCCGGGTAACGCAACGAGAACAGTAAGCTCTATTGATCGGATCCCACAGATGACACCCTCTCTTCGGTGCCGCAGCCTCGGCCCTCGAATCCTATTCGATCTTGACCATATATTCCATTAATCCGTCGCCAATAAAGCAGTTTCGGTTCCCCCCTCCTAGCCAACGAGACTGCCGATTGCCTGTCCTAGGCATCGGACGTCTGCCCTTTCGGCTGTCCGCATCACCTGTCCATTGGGAGCCCAGCTCATTGGGTCTCGCGCCCGCCAATCCCCATGGCCGATAGACCAATGACGTTGCTGTCGAACCCCGTCTAGATTCCAAAGAGGCAAATCTGCCCGGCGGAACGCAGCAGGCGGCGAACACATCAAGTTGCATTATCGACTTACACGACATATCACCTGATGTGAACAATTCGCATCTTCCTGCATACCGTAGTTTTCTACATACCAACCCAGGGATCTGACCTCCTGGCCGGCTCGTAGGCTGCAACCGGATTGCAGGGTGGTAGCAGACGTACATCCGCGGTATTACATGCTTCTTCTTCTGCTTTTCGATTAATTAACACGACGCCGACTGATCTTCCATGGCATGCATTTGAATTATCCGCAGTTCCCGTCCTTCTGGGACGAGCCATGTCGTAATCCCAACAGGACCTCATTTGCTGCATCACCCCTGACCAGGTTTCCATTGGGTCGGCTACCAATTCCGCTGACACCGCCTCCTATTATATAGTAACATACATCATGTCGGTGTTCTCGTCATTCTACGTAAGTCTTCCTTCTACGTGTAATTACTACTACATACAATCTGCGTATGACCGTTCAAAATAGCTAAGGAGGTTGAGTCTTGACAACTACCTACACATAAGCATCTACATACATAGATGCGATGTCGTACTACGCTTAATTACTATGTAAATGGCCCTTGCTGTTTTTCATATAAATATAGTATCTTGCCAAGCGAGGCTCTCCTTTTTAAGGGACCATGGCGATAGATTTTAATAATATGTCAATTGCCTTACCATCCATGATCACATAGCAGATGTCATTAATATCGTTGAGTCAACCGAACCTTCAAGCTCCGATGCGGAGTGTAACAATTGCTTTATTTCCCGATAACTAGATTTTAATTAATTATTATTCGACGGTACATAGATGCATCATATGATCGACAGCAGTGTCTTTAGAGCCGCTGTTAACCTATTAACCTACCCAATGTATGTATGTACATACAAGAATAAGACTCCTAGCAAACCGATTCGACATTCGTGATCCACCGCCTCTTCTGCAAGGGGTTGTCTGTGGTTGGCGCCCTGCATCGGGAACCACTCTCGGCTGAGATGATCGTCAAGATCCTCCACCCCATCCAGGCCGTTTGAGTGTCGCTTAATTCACATAAAGATCCGAAATCCCAGTTCCAGAGTACAGCCACCGCCTCGTCGCAGTCTCAACATACATACATAGACCCTGCAGTTAGAAAAGCTTGTAGAATCTTTCTATCGAGGATTTCGCCCAAGGCATTAATTAGTTTTATAGGTACCTGCCATCCTCAAAACGAGGCTTGTTCATGCGTTACTGCTTAAGGGGCTCGAGAGCTCAACTGAGTAGATATATTGCGGGGTTTTACGTAGTATTGAATTATATTAACTATGACTAAAATTTAAAAATAATATATATGCTCTATGTAAAACCCCTATAGCCTAGCTGTGGCCTACGTCGATTGAAGATCAGTCGAAACAAGGAGTTGTTTTGTTTGCGCTAATATGATCTAGACCTCGATTGGTAAGGTACATGTATCTAGGTACCTATGTAAGTACCTACGATATACTTACTAGGTATGTATTCCGTACTTCGTATAATTGCGAATATTAAATACGATCGACCGATCTAATACTTTGTTTTCTATTAACTAGAACACTTTTTATATTCCAAGTCTCAAATATAAAGGTGTTAATATCTTAAACTCACGAATGATAAGTCTCTTAATGATACCTAAGATGTATATAATCAAGTACCTACCTAGGTAACTTCGTACTGTACCTAGTACAATACATAGATAGGTACCTACCTACCTAGGTACCTACGGATTACATACATGCACATGCAGATTCAAACTTCCCAATCAAATCCCTGCAACACATCCCCCAAACGCAGCAGCGCGGATCGCATGGATTAAAAATGCCCCACATCCCCGATACAGGCGCTTGGGACTTACTGCAGTCTTAGCGTTCTTTAATAAGTCTGTCTTTAGCTTCTTTCTTTCTACTGATTCGCTCCTCGTTCTACGAGATCATGCACCTTTCCATCTTTCGCGTCACACGTCACCAACAAGCCAACAAGCCAACAAGCCAACAAGCCAACAAGGAAAGACACGCTGGCGTTTCTCGGTGCGAGAAACGCTATTCTCGGCCGACTCCTTCGCAGTCGCATATTATCCAAGTCCTGGTCAGTGGTCAGCGGTCAGCGCGGGATAGATTATAGGGTTGTCAATATGTAAAGTGAGACAATCAGACTAGACTGACTCAAGATGCTGCAAGATGCTGGCGAACACCTGTCACCAAGCCTTCTTTCCAAGCCTTCTTTCCAAGCCCTCTTTTCAAGCCTTCTCCCAAATATAGGAGTAATGTCCGTGGATTGGGCCCAGCCCCCGGTACTAATGCGTAGATCGGTTGGATTTACCGCAGCTTCGGCACAGCACCTAATCTCAATAGCAGCAGTGCCGTTGCGTCGGCTAGAGCTCCACCGCTAGACGCGGCCGCACCCTGCGGATATCCAGGACAGTCGTCGATTACCTTAGCGCGAGCTGCAACATAACACATCACATCGGCCGGTAATCCCTTATTTGGGTAGCCTCGATCTAATCTGTGCAAAATCGTACGTTTTCTGCAGGGCTAGCCTTGAGCCGTTGACACCGCCGTCAGCCAAAAAGGCGGCATGAACGCTGACGATGGCGAAGATGCGAATCTCAATCTCACCGAATCTACTTAGTCTACATGCCCAAGATACCTGCGTATTAGCTACCCAGAATAAAGAATAAATGAATAATAAAAAAGCGGTCACTTAATCCTCGAGATCTGCAACTATCTTGGTTTCAAAGTCTTGGTATCTCACAGGGGCAAGGGGGCATTTCCCGTTCCCCCACGGTTCGGTTGGCCAGGTTCCGACGACGCATCCAGTCAGCGTTGTAGCTGATGGAACTGAGTGTTTTGTGTTTCGTCCGCAACTCTGCCAACGTGGCTCGCGGGAACAGAGAGCAATAACCCGTCATCTTTTAGGTCACAAGACTTGCGCGTGCTGCTCCGTTCTGCAACCGTCCCAGCTTCTAGAAGGACCGACTCAGCTATTCCCGTCCGAAGGCTTGGGAGCCTTGGGAGTCTAAGAAAGAGTAATGAATCTCTGTGCGCGGAAAATGCCGAATCGTTGGAGTACACAAACAGGGCCTCTTCTCCGTGCTAGGTCGTCTCTTCTCGGAGCCAACACTCTATCGCCCAAACACTTTGATTTGATAATCCGTATGTATTACATAGTGAGTCGGCGATGATGACTATGACGATGTTAGAGCCGTCTCTTTCTCAGTGCGCAGGAAAGGTAGGGCAAGGGGGTATCGTGGCCGAGCGTTTCGTCATCCACGGCTCGAGATCTACCCGTACCAGGGCTATCTGGATCCTGGTCATTTTACGTAGAGAGCGGTCTGGCATCGAATTACCTAAGTTACTCGGGAACTCCCACCGCTTTAGTAATACCTGCTGACGGTGAGAGTTTTCTCGATAACTATTCTAAGAAAAGATAACCATCTTTAAGGGGTTGCCTGTTTAGGAATGCAATAGGCGATAAGTTCAATAGTCACCTGGCGGTATGCGTTGGCAAACCTCAAGTCGTAAACTGGGAGGCTGGTACGCGCCTGGCACCTGGCACCTGGCACCTGGGAGCCTTTCCGAACCGGAATCCTAAGCTTCTATCATCTCTGGTACATACCTACATAGTCAAGCAAGCGCCTGGCGGTGAATTCCTTATGCTCGCTCATTATACCCGCATGGACGTAGCAAGACTCTATTTTTGCTCATCAGATTCCACCTCCAATTTATGCGATTCACGCATCTCAGTCGTCGCTCGTCGGACATCTTTGATGCTCGAACAATGTAGACGATAATGATCAACTCTCAGAAAAGCGTGCAGACCCTTGTCCTCAACGGCGGTTTCAGCCCTGCTAACTCTATTTCCCTGCCTCAGATCAATGCAGTGTCTTCCTCCCGTGTTAAGCTTCGCTTAACTCGAATGGCTGGTTCTAGCCAGGCCCTTTTCCTTCGTGACGCATGAATACATAGCTCTAGCTGGTTCAGCTTCGATCCTCGACGCGTGCTAGAGGGGAAAGGGATGGGAAAGGAACTTACCGCTTCGTCAATGCGCGCGATACCCTGGCCGATCTCCCCAGGGGTAGCTCACACGATAGCTGTCGCAGACGTCACGGATCGGATATTTTCCGGAGTCTTATAGAACCGGATTCAGAGTCAGTTTGCGCTGAGTTCCGCACGAAGAGCCGCACGAAACTCCACCTTTGTGTAGAGAAGGCTGGCGAGCTGGCGAGCGGCGTTAGCTTGATTTACGATGTTGTCATACGCGTATCGTGAAGCATCCTAGGCTTCCGGAATAACTATGATGATCGAAATGTAGAAGCAGGGCATCTTCGTGATAGCTCAATGCTGGGTAGCTTTGTTTCGGCACGGTAAGAACCGTTGGAGCACTTCGTTCCCGCATGAATTCTTAAGCGGCGGTCTACGGATACGGATGCGCATACGTGCCGGTCAGCGATACGACCTATACAAGAAACTTGGCGTCTCTCGTGTCGCCTATCTATACGATGTGGGTTTCCCGGATTATACATCGTTCGTATAGTTGGAGTGACTGGCCTAGGCTTTCACTCTAGGTACCTAAGAATAATTGTAATATCTCGTCCATGTATTGTTTTCAACGTCTTCCAGGAGAGAGAAAGAGAGAAATGGCATATTTCTATTGTATAATTCCATATGTTCTCCCAGTCGCTCTCATATTATAGGGCCATTAGACCGATATGTAGTCGATGTAGAAGTAAAAGGGTACAGCAAGTACACATGAATGCTAAGATTAATGTTTTCTAAAGCTCTATCCCTGTTGATGCTGGCCTGAACTATTTTACATGTACAGTCAAGCTAGATAAAACTAAACATAAGCAATGTCTTCTCAATATCTATCTCGGGGTCCCTTCTTAATTACCACCGACGTGTGCTCTAGTAAACAAATACCAGCCTAATATTCTGCTGTTCGTTCCAGTACAGCGTCTCGTGAAATATCCTACGCGCAACATAGAGTTAGCTAACCTACAAGAGCACCCTGCTAAGTTAAACAGGTACGTTTAGAACAAGCTCAGGCAAGAGTTCGTAACTTGGAAAGGGACAGCCTACGAAAGCCAGGCCCATACCAGAACACAGGAGGGCAAATGAAGTAGTTACAGGGAATGAAAGGGGGTACATACTCGGGACCAGTAGCAACCAGTTCCCAACCAAATGTCAACTTGATGAACTGTGTCAAGTGACTAGTCACCTTTATAGCACCGACGTCCGTCGGATGCCATTGCGGTCCGATATCAATTGTGCTGCACTGGAGAAGGTGAGGATCGCCGGCGCGGAGAGGTATTCGTCCGAGTTGAAGTAGGACACGACATCTTTGAGTTCCTGCTTGTAGCCTAGGTTTTGCTTGTAGCTGTTGCCGTAGGAGTAGAAGCCCATCCGTAGTTGCTAACGTGCCGAGAGGGTTTAGTATTTTGATATGGGGTGGGGGCTTTTTAAGAAGGAAAGGAATGGAAGGTGAGGGTGAAAGGGAAAATGAGGAAAAGGGGGTCGGTACCATCATGATGACTTGCGCTTTGGGGTACTTCCCGTGAATACCCCGTATCAGCTTCTTGTAAGCATCGACGTACGTCTCCGTGCTGACGTTATTCGCCGTGTTGTTGTCGTTGGTGCCGAGGTTGATAACCACGATATCCGGAGCCGTCTCCTGTTTCTCAAAGGCCCACGGCTCCGGCTCCGGCTCATATACATGCCGGCCGAGAGGCTGTCGCCGATGAACTCGACGGTGCGCTTGCGCGACGGGATCTTGATCAGCGATTCACCGGCTGCTACGTGCACTTTGTCGATTTGGGCGCCGTAGGCCCAGTTTGTTACGCAGAGCTCAAAGGTTAAAGGGGTGACGGGGAAGGGTTTGTTGATGCCGGGGGTTGAGGACGAGACTAGGAGGTGTGTGGCACCGGCTGTTACGTTGGTCTGGGGGTTGAGGGATGTTGCTTTAGCTTTTGATTCTTCCTCCATGATAGTCGAAGGTGCTTCTTAGGGTGAGGGCTGAACAATAGCACGGAAAGAGATAATGGGGTTATATAAGTATTATGCTACTTACTACTACGTGTTAGCTACTGTAGGCGAGAGGACTTCAAAATCATAAGAATAGGGATATAGGGTATTAGAGTAATGTGCTCTTATACTTACCGAAAGTTTAATCCATCCCGCCTATTCGATATCCGATGAGTGTCGTATATGTAGTTAGCTCTCCGAATGTGATGGCAACAGTATCTTCCGTGAAGCCAAAGAAAAGTCCGGGAGCTCTAGTTCAACCGTCACTCTGCCATATTCCTCATATACATATCGTGTCGTTTTACCTATGAATTTCAGCAACTTACGACCACCAGGAAACCTTCTTGGAATCTCATCTCCCCTTACAAGACAACTCGGTAGCATTTGCGTCGTAAGTCCGGAAGTCGTACGAAGAAATATCGATTTTAGTATCAGGATAATCCGTGATTCTCACTTGGCCGTTCTGGAGAATTGTCCCTGCGGCCAAGGAGCAGAGGCCTAGGAGATATGAGAGCTTCTCAAGTAACATCTCGCTGACGGGACAACGTCACTATTGAGAAGAAGTGTCTTATGTCTTACGTCTGACGTGTTTCCTTCATCTCTAGGACTAAAACACGTGTACATGATGGGACACCACAGTCTTATAAGTGAGACCTATCTACGATATCACGATACCACGATGAGAACTTACGAGCTACGGGATCTTTCATTTCTCCAAATCTCCCCAGGCCCTTGATTCCGGGCGACGTCCTCATTGCAACTGCGCAATGTGATTTAGATCTAGATCTGGATAGATTGTAGACATACAGCCTGCTGTTGCTATGAATATGGCGGATGTTGGACATCCGCTTCTCGATCGAGACATGTCGGGGGGAAGTTCTGCAATGCATTGTAGATCAGCTGTTGTAGATCACGGCCTAATATATGCGAAGCGAACTGCAGACGCGATGCAGACCCTAACTAGACAGAGAAGCCGAGCCGGTCTAAGCCCTATGTGCTATAGCATGGGGAAGACCGAGAGGATGATAGCCATTGGTTATGTCTTTTTATGTATTATGTATTATGTATGTATTGTGTCAATATGATATGTTGATGAGGCTCAAGTTGGTCCTTGTTATATGATGTATGTATTACGTTGGCACTTTGATGTAGGCACTTCAAATTAATAGGCATATTAATACATGTAGGTATGTACTTGAATGTTGGCACACATGATATTTGATGTTTACCTAGGTAGGTACCTAGTAGAAAGATACTAGGACTTATGACGTCGGTAATTCCACTGATAGGTAAAAGAGGTATGTACCTACGCACTGCGACTACCTTATTTATACCGTTACTTCAGCCGGAGTTTTAGCCCTACAAGAATTAATATTGCACTTTACGTTTCGCTTAGTTAGTTACAACTTTTTCACCTTTTACCCATAACTCACTCTCATTAATGAAACGATGCGTTAAAAAAAAAAGTAAAGAAAACAAAAGTGGCAATTCTACAAGAGGAAAAATGAAATCTCTTACTGAATTATTGGAAGCTCGGAGATGGAATTTTATTACACGATCCCGTCTTTCTTCTCATGCTCATGGATGCTTATAAGCGCTAACTCAACCTCTGATCGACGCGAGATCCATGCCCTTCAACACACAGGGGGAACGTGCCATTTGTATCATTTGGCGCGTTGTAACGATAAGGGAAAACCAGCAGCTCGGCTCGGGTGGGACATGAGTCCTGAAATATTTCAATACTTACTACCTAACCTACCTAAGGTATTCAATATTCAATATTCGAGAGATGCTAATCTGAAAAAGGTTGATATATTTACATAGTATTCAGACCAGTCAGACCAGTGGCCTATGATCATCTTCTCCAAATGCTCCGATGTCCAGGTTACAATTGGCCCCGCCAGTTCACAAGGGTTTTGATTTTGATTTTGAAAACGTCGAACCAACTTACGACAGTCTTTAGCTCTTGTCTACATCTACATATCTACATTCACGTCTACGTTACATAGTTGTTTCTCGGTTCTCAAGCTCTCTTAATTACCTCACCACCTCACCATCTCAACCCCCCCCGGCTCCCATCTTAGGGTAACACAACGTTGTCGAAGGAAGATATGACCACCGCCTCGTAAACAACTGAGGATACCCTTTTTTTCTTTTGCGGGGAAACGGAGACGAAGAAGACAGAACCTACTGCAGCTGACCGCCAAAACACGGTTTGTCCGTCTTGTCCGTCCAACATTCCTTGTCTTATCCCGCGAAGGATTCAGATTGCGCCGAGTAAAAGCAACAAGGTCTCCTTGTATAGGTGTGGTAGATTTGTGGTAGATAGTATGACGAAGAGGGAGTAGGTCGTTTGCCGGTTGTATCACCAAATTTCAACAAAAAAAAAGAACCTGGATACAGGGTGCCCGTCCCAAATTCAGCCGTCCATCTCCCCTCCATCTTCTACAAACCCTGCCAACCCTTATCCAGCTTCGAGATTCTAAGAGAGTTTCCCCTTCGAGTCCCCCGTCCGAACCGAGTTCCTCCCAGACTTCTTCCAGACTCCCCTCACAACTCACAATCTTGTTATGCTGCCATTGCACTAAGCTGCGATACTGTCCTTTCGCCATCTCGAGACAATGAAGCCGCGAGTCGCGGCCGACACGACGCTTGACAAAACGGTATCGCAACCTCTACCGTACCAGCAGTACACGACGTTGCATCCGAATCCTCCCCGCTTACCACCGCCGTGCTCTCACCCCCTGCCCTATCGACGCTACACAACGCTCGATTCCTAGCGAGTTTGCAGACGCAGACGCAGACGCAGACGCAGACGCAGACGCAGACGCACGAGTAGACGCACGAGTAAATACCTCGCCTCATACGGCAGAGCCATGCCGTCCACAGAAGCCAATGCCGTCGAGGACACGCAATTGGGCCTGACCGAAGAGGAAATAAATCTCCTCCGCTACCACCAAGCTCAGGCCGGTTCTTCTTCCTCGCGCGCCGCCAGCCGGGCCTCTTCCCAAGGCCGCCTCCTTCTCGATAGTTCTAGCCTTGCTGCGCTAGCACGACACCTCGACCGCTTGATGCAGCAGATCCAGCAGCGCATCGAGTATCTCAGCGAGCAGAGCTCCGTCGTGACTATGCAGCAGTATGACCACGCAGGCAATCTGGTGGACAATGCCGATGCTGAAATTGCGCGCTTTCAGGGTATTATGGCTCAGATCGACGAGCTTGAGCTCGACTTTGATCGCATCGCCCATATAAGAGACATCGTAAGGGATTACCGACAACGAGTCGAGAATCTCGAACGTGGACTCGAGAACGCATCACGTCGAGATCATCATCACCACTCTCACCGCCACAACCATTCGCAACGACAAGAAGGCACCTCTACCGGCCGCCGACATAGACACTGAAAATGGTTATTAAAATGGAGAAAACCTAGCTGCTATCCCGTAGATCGGGGGTATTAGAACGCAACTCTGCTTCGGAAGGGAGAAGGGCATCAAGGCCCACTCGATTTACAGTCTTTAATGGAAAAATTGCTGCTGGACACAGAGAAAAGGGGTATCAAAATTTTATGGCACGGGTGAATAGAAGCACAAGGTCACACGACTATGGGGAAACGACCGATGTACTGGAGTCGATTGCTACCTCGGACGTACCGGCGGGTAACCATAGCACCGCCTCGGGAAGGCATTGTCGATATTTGAGGCTGAAAACGCTTCTCTACGGCTAACAGAGTGCTATATGGAGGAAAACAAAATATCTACTGCTTTCTCATACCGTACTTATCGAAGATGAACGGAGCCTCGCGGCTGGACAAGAAGGGGATAGCCTCACGGCTTACTTTTTTCTGGGGACTTCTACGGCGTTCGTGTTTTCTTGCCGCTTATCATTTATATCATTTTTCTCCTTTTTCACAATACCCCCTTCGTCACGAGATTGGATATCCCTGCGAATAAGCGAGTAAAGCCTGCTTATACACATTTCTATTTACCTGTTCGTGTATCTTTTGTCATATTATATTATATTATATTATATTGTTGGCTGCGCGTCGTTACTACGGAAAGATACCTCTGGCTGGGCTTACTATTTGAAAATATGATTTTTGTATGCAGATAATGTTCGTTCTGGAATGGAAAGCTTTGGAGGAAAAGAAACGCCCCGTTATCTGTGGGCTTTTTATTACTGTTGTTGAAATATTGGGTGTGTTGTGTGAGATTTTAGGGGTAAATGCCATATGGCTTACATCAGTGATATTATGATATTTACCTATATTATACGTTTTACTCGTAACCCCCTTTACCTTGTGTCTTGACAATACGGGCATAACAAGCTGCTCAAACAGCAATAGCTGGAGGGAGATGGTGAATATGTCGGAATGGCGGGTATGAAGATGCCATCAGAAAGTTAGACAGTCAACTGGCCGAGCTACTTTGCGGTAATTGTTTCGGTGTACATGTAGGCTACGTACTGGACACCGACTAACTCTCCGAGAAGGATTCCCGGACATCAGGAATGGGGACGGGGGGTATCTAAACTACTATCCATCCATGCTATTTCTCAACTCCGACCCTACGTCTTTTTCTCTTTCTTTCCGGGTTACATTGCGCAAATGTTTGTAAAGTGTCTCACTCTCATATATATAACCTAGGTATATATATATATACTTGAATTACATTAAATGGAGATATCGTAGGTACCCAAGGTACCTATGTACCGCAGTCACAATCCACTACCGTACTTCTTCCCGAATCGACCCGAGCCAAGTGCGTAACGGATGAGGCTGGTGGAATGGGTGCAGATGGCGCGTGCTGCTTGCCGGACGTAGAGGTATTAAGTAAGTCCTTCGGAGCGTTATGGATATATGATATGCGCATGTATCCTGAGAGATATTTTCTGAGGACATGGTTGACCAGTACAGACGTGGGATATAGGTATGAATTAGATTAGGTACCTACTCAGGGATGTAGCGGGCTAAGTTGTTTACTATGTATGTTAAGATGAACAAGTCTCAAGACATCTCAAAAGAACCGTCGAATAATATACTTGACTTTTATAATTTTCTATTTGGAATTCATTCGCTACTCAACTGGTGGCCTTCTTATTAATATACACGCTGGGTAAGTATCCATTGCTCGCTACTAGATGATAAGTATTGTATCGCACCTAACTGTTCCGTATTGTTCCGTCTGCTGAAAGCGTATTCCAAAGCCAATGTATCACTCGCCATATCCTCATTTCCATCAGATATATATGCTAACTACCTCTTCCCCATCGCACCGCCAACAAACAGTTCCTCGGAATCCACGTACTTGATCTTCCCCCTTACCTCCTGTGGTAGATCCTCTTCTGTGACCAAACCCATCTTGATGCAGTCCCCAAGGAAAAACATGGCGCGGTCCTGCGCGTACGCAAGGTAGTCGAACTCAGCCGCATCACCTACTTCCTCCTCCGGCGCTGTGATAGCTGTCGGCTGTACGGCTCCTTCTACGCCATCTGTAGCGTTCTCGTCGAACCCGGGTATCTTGGCCTGCATGATGCCCCAAGCGACCCAGTGGGCGCTGTTTGCGACGCGCCAGATGCGTGTTTCCTCCACCAATGCGTCAACTTGAGTCTCGACTTGCTCTTCGCGGCGGCGATCCTCCTCTTTCCAGCCGCCCGGTGGTGCGCGCGAGTCCAGCATGAACTCCCGGATCGAGCTTGTGGAGCCAAGGCTCGTAGCGACTAAGCCGGGTGTGCTTGGCTGTAAAGTTGGAGTTGCTAGGGGCGTTAGGTTCGGCGTGGAGGCACCCGGATGCGGAAAATCGGGCCGGTGGTTGACATACGCCCGGATGAAACGACGCTGCTCTTCCAGCGTGGGATATATCGTCGTGTCGCACGCGAAAGGGGCATCCTCGCTGTGGTAGTTGTAACACCATTCCGTGAAGTGGTTTGCAAACTCTAAGCCCCTCGTGTTGGCAGCCGAGTATTCGAAGTCTATGACCACGAGCTGCTTGTGTTCATAATTGGGTTGAAGTAAAGGTGACTTCTTGTCGTCGGGCTGGACGCGTAAGATGTTGCCATATTGAGTCTACCACAGATTAGTATGGCATTTTGGAACATTAAGTTGGATATATGCTCTTACATCACTATGTGCGAACACCAGACTCTCTCGTATAGCACGGGAGCCGCCATAGTAATCGACCAAGAATCTCCGATACTTATCTACTAGTTCCTTAAACACAGCCCACTCAACACCGCAGACAAGACCTCGTAGCTTCCATGTATCTGCTGGACCCCTGACGGGACCAGGGTTGCCAGAGAGGATTTTTCGATCCAAGTAGGTGATCACACGTGAAGTTCTATTGAGCCAAGTATCCCAGTTTTTCAGAACCATAGGCCCGCCATCCCTTTCTCTGTCCAGGAGTTTTATTCCATCGTGCAACTCTCTCATTCTCTTAGCAATTTTCTTCGACGTGTCTGGATCTCTGATATCGTCTGCTGTAAGAGTGACGGCGTTGAGGTATTGCTCGAACCGGCCGTTAGTAAATGTCCCCAACAAACGAGGCCCGATTTTCTTCTTCGCAAGCCTTCTCAACACATTCAATTCGTTCTCCCTGTCGATAATCTGATCGGCTTGGGGACCATAAATTCTCAATAATAGTTTCGCGGGGTTTTTCTTATACCCTTCGCCTATCGTTATTATGTTATCTGGCGGAGAGACAACATAGACGGCATTTGTCAAAGCCCCACTAAGGCGCGTCACATCGATACTCTCTCCGCTATCCAGGGGAACACGCCTCCAGCCCTTGAGCCTTAGGGTATGAGCTAGCTTGATGATTTCGTTCTTGAAGGTGATCCAAGCTCTCCTCTCCTTCTCTTCTTTCTTACTCGAAAAAGAAACGTCATCCGTCGAAGAAGGTTTCCCCCCAGAATAGCCTAATGTTTTGGAATTATCGAGAACTGCGTCACATGCCGGAACTAAAATATCGCCGTCTTGATACTCTGTGTCTGATGAAATCGTTCGGTGCATAGTAACGGATCTTTTCCGTGATAACTTCTTTCCAGGCTTTGGGCTATAGTGCGGAATCCCATGGAGACCTAAGGCACTCATGCCATCGTCAACAATCTTTTGGAGCCTTTCAAAAGATGTATCACTGGATTGGGAATCAATAGAGTACGCCCTAGCTCTCTCGGGCGGCTGCTGCGTGTCGGTTTTGTCGGTTTTGTCGGCATCATCTTTCGCGTGTTTCCGCCTGCTCGAATGAACCCTCCTCGACCTCCTGTTTTGCTTCTTGACTCGCTCATGTTCTAACCAATCGGCAACCTGAGCAACAAACCTATCTAATTGGTGATGGCGATGATGAGAATGCGAACGACCGCCATCCTGTGTATTATGATGAGGGGACTGGCTGCTAGCATGGCTACTTTGTGGCTCTAAACTGTTCTGACTTTGGAGTGAAGTCCTAGAAGAGTTGTAGTCTAACATAGGTGGACGGCCGCTCAAGCGTTTCGCAAGTCCAGCCGAATATTGTCTTTTAGGATGTATTTCCTCTAAATTGTCCTGATCCGGTTCAGGTTCAGCTATCTGTACGGCTAAGATAGAGTAAGCATAGTGTGACTGTAAGGGAGAAAAATTGCGGACAGTAGAAGGTGCATGAGAGCTTTCTCATAGGCTTCCACTAACGGATACCTGCGTCAATTTCTTTTTTCTATTTTAGAGTATTTTGTATACCGAGCCTCGCCCAATTGACGCTTGGCGCCTGAATGCATATATCCTCGAATTCGGTGATGGTAATACTCTCCAGTCTAGGACTACCTACTGCCTTTTCTAGTAAAAGGGGCTACATATGCAGAATCCATCTAGGCAGAAAGGCAATACAGATTACCATCAAGACCTCACGCGACTAGGTGACTTAGTGAAAAGGTGGAGGACATGAGAGACATGGTAGCTTCCGGCGGTGAAGGGTAAATATAATTAAATTGACCAACCTTTCGTACTTATACTAGTGTTTTGAGAAGACGGCCTCTCCAGGTCATCGTCCTGCTTTAAGACGGACCGGAGCGGTTGTCCCTCGGCCGTGAGGATCGGTGTAGACGTCGACATGTTGAGAGATCTCCAGATAAGTGAGGGGCAGGGGGGGTGGTGATGGTATGTGTTTAGACTATAAAAAGCTAGTGATAAAATGTAGGATTCTTTTGTTAAAGATAAAAGATAAAGATCAGATGATATATGCCCCTTGGTATACCTAATAGGGGAACAAACAAGCTTTAGGATTCGCTAGTCGGATTGAGGCTTTATTTTGCGAGGGGGCGAATGTGAATGTGAATGTGAATGTGAATGCGAAAGCGAAAGATTGTTAGCGAACATTGAAGAATTAGCTGAAGGATCGAAGAAGAACACGGACTGATAAGAAGTCGCATGTCAAGAAAACGATAACAAAAAAGTATTGTCAAATAGGGCAAGTGCCAGGACTAGCAAATCCGCAGTACCGGGAACACCTTGCAGGATACGCTGCAGGGAATGCACCCTTGTGATAACCTTAAATTAATTGCGGAAAGCAGTTGCTTCCGTTCTCAGGAAGATGGCGTGTTAGGTAGGTACATGTATGTATAAACAATTCCCTTAGTACATGTATAATTGGTATCTACCTAGATTGTACAACGGCTAAGTGATGTCATATAACAATGCTGCGGCAAGAAACTACAATTGCCTGAAGAGTATTATTGACGTTCTAGAATTATGTACATATGTATATTATTTCGTCTGACCTCTTAGGCGCATTTCTAGGGGCACGTGCTCGACATGAATGACGTAACAATACGTACATAGACAACGCGGGACATAGCAATCAGGCTGTCGACCAAGATGTGAGCTCCATATAATAAGGGTGACACTATTCGGGTAAGCTGACAACTATAATTAAGATAGACTTGATATATAAGTGACATACGCATTAGGTTAGAGATCTTAGAATTCAAGGTCTCCTGACTTATACAAATAGCTAATTTCAATCAACTTCTATAATAACTAGCAAAGGTAATACAACTATATACTTAATATTCATAGTTATATCAAATACTTACGTTAAACAAGCCATCTATAATTCAAGGCTTATTAGTAACCGTCACGGAAGGCAATAATAATCTCTATATCATAATGGAAAGAACAATGAAAAGGAGTCGTCATAACTGGAACATATACATTTAAATCCGTAAATAGCGTAATGTGTAACTAGATAGAGATCAACCATAGTCTCTTTAATCTCAACCTTCACACACAATTCCACAGCTTCACTTAACAACTTCACATAACTATACTCACTTATACTCATACCCATAGTTACCTTAGGTACTCATACGCATATTCATATCTTCGTATTCATACTACTCCCTCCACTCTCACCACCCCCCATCAAATCCTCCCCTTCCACCCCTCCTGCTCTAACGCCCACTCCACCGCCCCCTTAACATCATCAACAATAACCCTCGGCCTAAACGCCGGATTCCCCCCTCGTTCGGGGCTCCAGACCCCCGTACGCACAAGCACCGACTTCCACTCCGTGCCCTCGGGGCTCTCGTACTCGTTTGCCCCGCGGATATCGCTCGCCGGGTTATCCCCAACCATATACACCCTTTCCAACGCCCCTTGTCCTTGTCTCTGCCCCTCCCTTTCCGGGTCCAAACCAAGCACCGCCGCCCGATGCGCATTAAGCACGCGCTCCGCAAACTCATACGTCATCCCGTGCGGTTTACCAATCGTAACGCGCTCGAGCTCCGCCGCGCCCGCCGTGACTTCCCTCCAGATCCCCGCGATCGCGGCCTGGAACGCGCCCTGGCCGAGCCGCGGGTGCGGGTATGCCGCCGCCCAGAACAAATCCGGATTCGAGAAGAAGAGGGCTGGTTGGCCGTCGCGCTGCCACCCGCCGTTCGGCAGGTCCTTGAGCCCGTTGCGCGGGGAGTAGGTCCCGAGGACGCCGTCTTTCGACATGAGCAGGTCGAGGATGAGCTGGATGTCGAGGGCCCAGTCGCGCGGGTCGTTGAACACGAATATAGCGTCGATTTTGGGGTTTGGCGACGGCAGCGGGCGCGCTGTTTTTGCGTAGAGTTCCTCCATGAGCGGGTCGAAGGGCCAGACTGTGGGGTGGGCCGCTAGGATGTCCGCGGGGGTGATGACGTGCCGGAAGCCGTACTGCTCGGCGATAACACGACATTTGGCGGCGTCGGAACCCGTGACGAGAATGTTCTTGTCGCGGAGGCCATCTTCGCTGCCGCGGGCTAGCTCCCGGAAGGGCGTGTGCGACTGGATGAAGTTATCCGTAGACAGCTCGACGCCAAGGCGGGCGCTTAGGTCCGCTACACGTTCCGTCTCGTGCTTGCCGCCGCCGTTGGTTAGCAGGATGAACGGGATGTTGTGTTTCTGGAGGAACTCTAAGGTCTGCGTCGCGCCGGGGATCGGCTTTGCAACGTGGAGAAGGACTCCATCGATACTGGGAGCTGTGTAAGCCGGTTATCCTCTGGACCAAGAATTCCTCTCCTTCTCTATCATTTCACTTACTCAAAGGCAAAAGCGAAAGGTGGTGATTTAGAAGCCTTATGATCGATGCTATAGGGACGACCGACGAAGGATCCGAATCGTATACTGAATCGTATAGACGGTCGCACGTGGTTTGCACTCACGTCTCGTCTTCGCGAAGAACTGCTAATAGCCCGGAACGGACACGACGACGACACTCGAACAGTCGAGTGAACAGTCGAGTGGGACCAAGGAATGTAACCCGACACCGCGCCGCCAAGAACTGGGCGAGCGCGAAATGCCCTCATTGTGAAGGATGAGAAGCGGGAGAGAGAGGCACTAAGGATTGGCCGTTGAATTTACCTGCAAATCATATCTCGCTCACTTAATCTCGCTCACTTGGACTGTAAACTGTAAATACCGTCACAATTACCACATTCCTTTGCGGTAGAGTCGGAGATGATTAGTGTAAGTTAGTGTAAGTTAGTGTAAGTTCAGACTGAAACCAAATTGATCATTGTAATAATTCATTCCAATGCGTTATCGAAATAAGTAGACCCGGCTCTTATCGGAGTTCCATTCCGGAGCCCGTGCAACTCGATATTTCAATTGATGACGATCACTGATCACCTTGAAGTTCATTGGTGTATTAGAGCAGGACGACTTTGTATTTTGTTAATCGTAATCTTTATACAATTATACAACGTAGAGGTCAATTCTCTAGCCTAAGCTCGCGCATCCCCTCCTGTCTATATAATATAATATATACCTTAGGTACACAAGCACGCCTTTATGGGCAGAATTAATACATCATAGTATCAATTAAGTAGATAATATCACAGGTCGAGTAGAAAAGCATCACTGCATCGCTGCATCATACGTTCCTTCCCCTATTTCTTCCAATCCTTTATATGATCTAATATAACCTTCGCCGCCTGCTCGGGACTATGCTGGCGCCCTAGTGCTTCTACGAAGTCGCCCTCGGGGTCCATCAGGTAGAAGTAAATGCTGTGATCGACTAAATAATCCTGGCCAGGCTTGACGTCTCGCGGCGTGCTGAAGTAGACACGGTACGCCTTGCACATGTCCTTGATCTGCTCGTACGTGCCCGTCAACCCCACAAACCGCGGGTGGAACTCGGCCAGATACGACTTGAGCACCCTGGGGTCGTCGCGCGCCGGGTCGCACGTCACGAACACGGGCGTCAGGGCTCCGGGCGACTGCTCCTCGACTAGGTCGAACATCCGCGCCATCTTGTCGAGTTCTTCGGGGCAGATGTCTGGACAGTGCGTGAATCCGAAGTAGACCTGTCGATAGGACGTTAGCCGGCAATTCCTTGTACAATACCAATAATACCCTATGCCGATTATAATATTCTAAGCAGAGGCAGTAAAAACCTACCAGAGAATGCCGGCCCTTCAAATCCCTACTCGAAAATGGTTTCCCATCCTGATCGACCAGATCGAAGTCCCCTCCAACCTTCGGCCGTCCGACACCCTTGGTAGCCTCGGCCAAACGCTTGCGGTGCATGCGCTGCTTCTCGTGCTCGAAGTACCATACGAGCCCCGCGCTCGTGAGCACGAAGAGCAAGCCTGCCTTCCACGAGAAGGGCCCCGTCCGGTATCTACTACGCGCCTCCTCTACCGTCTTCGCCTTATAACGTCGCTGCTCGAGGGGTCGAGGGTTGGCTGTACATTGTTGCTGGGGGTGCGAAAGCGCTGCTGTGGGTCGTCGCGGGGAGGATGTCGAAGTGGAGGGGGATGCCGAAAGAAAGCGGCGGCATTGTTGTGTCTGAGGGCGGGTTTGCAGAAGAGACCGTAAGAGCGGTTGCGGAGCTGCTATTGAGCGCGACATCTCTATAAACCTCAGCTTACAGGTTGCGAGAGTTGCGACTTGTCTATTTGACTTGGGCTGTTCGAGTTGCTTAAAATTATTGTATGGAGCTTCGACGAATTGTTAGTTGAGATAATTCCTAGGCCGGCCAATTCCGGGTCTTGGCGCCTGGCCGAATAGGTACGCCACTTGTGGTAGCTTCAGCCACATACCTACCTATCACAAGGTACATACATGTACCTACAGGAAGCATCTGTTAGGTACCTAACCCAACCTAACCTACATACCCAACCTTCAAATGTTATATCGAGTCTCATAGAGCTGAAGTACATATATGTAGCACAATCTTACTCTTAGGTCTTCGCAACTCAATTCTAAATCCGGATTGGCTGGCAACCTACGTCAACCTCTTCGTCCAGCAAGGATACTGAGACTGGAGCACACGTTCCGGAATGGAGGGGAACCGTAACGGCAAATTGCATTCCGTTGTCATCATCTATTATTATAACTTACAAGAGCCAGTTCGTACAATTTCTCTGCAGAAAGGGAGAGGCAAAAACCTCGCCTGTCCTCGAGCCTTCTCCTCGCCACCTCCTTCCTACCCTACCGAGAACGAAACCGACGTTATTAACTCATTTTCATTATGCACAGTCCGATAGGGGTCGTAAAGCCCTCCCCCCCAAAAAAGAACATCCATCAATCATCAATACCTCTTTGCAAAGGTCAAGTGTTGGAAGTGAATGGTAAGATAAATGCCCAATGCAAGTCGCAAGTCTTTTCTTTTTTCGCAAATGCCGTCAGAATGCCCACCTGCCGAACCAAGACCATTTCCTGTACACTCCTTACACTACCCTCACCACTCAATATTAGCCCATACTTTGCTGAAGACGAAAACAGAGCGGCGAACGCAGCTGCGTCTATCTTCGTCAATGCCTCCATACGCCGAAGGAAAAGCTCCGTCCTGATACTAGTAAGGAGGAAGCGAAGAAAAAGAATCTCTAGGTAAAATCATCAACGGATGAAGTCCTGGCTGGCACCGAATTATTAGGAAACCCCATATGAACGCCGATAGTATGCCAACACAAGTGAGCGACTTGATGTCGTCCTCCAGAAGATCCGTGGTTACGGTTCTGAAATTTTGCGCAAACAAAAACAGGATTTGATGATGCACGTCAATCTCGGTGACTTTAGGTTGTAAAACAGGTTGAATCCGTATAAAGAGACCAGTACCATGTAAGTATTAAGGCCGGCTGACCTGACTCTGGCTCGCGCTCGTACGGCTCCGCTCTTCCTCTTCCTCGAGCACGTCGCTCAGGCGTGTGGGGTGGTGGTGACGCGGAGCACTACCTATATCATCCCAAGGCGCCGAGTATCCAGCACCGCTATAATCGGGAGCTGCCGAGTACTGCGGCTGTTGCTGTTGAGAACCCGTGCCGGTCGGCTGGTAGACGGCCGGCTGAGTAGCAGGGGTCTCGAACTCTTCTGCTGCAACGTCAGAACCCTGTGAAGCATGGGTACGGGTTGGATTGGTATGTGCAGAAGGATTGTGCTTTTGCGTGTCTCGGACGGGGTTTCTCGCTGCGCTATTGGCAATACCATTGATGTACTGACCTTCGCTGTAAGTTCCTTCGGAACCGTAGCTCTGCTGGTGCTGAACAGACGAGGGTGTCTGGAAAGCGGGATTATTGTCACGCGAAGCCGGGGTTGACTTAACCGCGGGGGCTTGAGAGTACTGAGGACGATCAGCGCTAGGCGAGGTATGCGACTGAGCATAATCCGCCGGTTCCGTTTGGTTGTAAGAGCGAGGGTCTCGCTGGGAGTGGCCGCGGCCTACACCTTGCGTCATTGGGACGACCTGAACCCCGCCAACGATAGTGGGTTGGCCAAGCTGTAAAGACATAGTGCGATCACGTTCCTCTTGTTCCCGTCGTCCGAGTTCCTCCCACGCGCGCCTCGCTTCCTCCTTAGAAATGGTCAATTCTTTGCGTAGCTCGTTTATCTGCTTCTGCATTTTGGAGGTGCCTTGCTCGTGCTCGACGGCTTCGCGAATCGCGTCGGCCCTGCTCCTGCGTTCCTCTTCGAGAGCCGCCTCGAGCATACCAGTGACCTCTTGAGAACGCTCTATCTCGGCGCGAGTCTCGAAGAACCAGCGTTGGAACTTACGCTCCGATGAAGCCCGTAGGCGTTGCAGCTCGACCACGGCATGGAACAAATTAGCACCTGCAGAAGAAAGGTCCGTCACTTGTCGTGATAGCTGCTGAGAGATAGGATCCTGGCTGATCTCCTGCGCACTCTGCTCCAACCTACGGATCCAAAAGCTAGTAAGGCCTTCCCAATGAGCTGACAAAGTTTCCCAGCGCTCAAATGCATGAGGGAACGAGTTTCTACCTCGTCCGAGAGCTGTCGAAGTTTCGCCTAGCTGAGGGGGCTGCTGCTGTTGGGGTTGAGTTCCAGAAGGACCGGCTACTCTAGGACCGGAAGAGGTACCGGGAACTCCCTGCGTATCGGAAGTAGTTCGCCCATGTCGCGCCGACTGCGATGGTTGGGCTGCCGTAGGAACTCGCGATTGTCCCGCCTGGCGGGTATTGCTATCTATGGTCGTGCGACCGGGCGCGGCTGACTGTGCCGGTCGTCGGGAAGTGGTGGGATCAGTGCCGGCGGGGATGGTACCGGCTCCATAAGTACCAGCGCCAGCAGCGGCAGCGGCAGCTCGGCGCTCCGCATCTTTTCGCTCCGCTTCTCTTGGTTTTGCCTCTTCCAGCAAACGCATCTCGTTTTCGGCATGTTCTTTCTCTAGGCGTTCACGCTCCTGCTCTTCGCGCTGTCGTTCACGCGCAGCCTCTCGCGCAACTCTCTCCTGCATAATTATCCTGGGACCTCTTATTCCAGAAGGAGAGCCGACGGCTGCTCGCGCCGTAGTAGGTCGTGCAGGCGAAGCGCCATTGCCATTAGAGGTGCTAGGGCCTCTGCCTCCCATAAGATCGGCCATTGGCGAATATAGCTCGACCAAGTCTTCCGAGATCTCTCTAGGGCCGCGTAATGTTTGCTCAAGAGCATACAAAATAGCGCTGTGAGTTTGCTTCGAGATGCGAAGGGCTGGATGCGGTTCGGGTCTATTCGGGTCTGGAACAGATCGCCTTGCCTCAAAACGCGGCTCGGGGGGGCTATTTGAAGTCGCTTCGGAATCGTTACTTAAATTCCCTTGAGAAAGCTGCCGTCTAGGTTGTTTTGGACGGTTTCTCCAAACTTGCTGGTCAGCACCTGTTAGAACGTATCGCCCTTGAGGTCCGAGAGTAACAGTAACTCGATTGGCTGGTTGGCGCGTCTGTTGCGCGTCTGGTTGAGAAATAGGCGAGACCGAGAAGCGCGGGGTCCTACGAAGTCGGTGAATAGAAGAAGGGGTGGCTGTCGATCTTCGATCTGGCGTAGGTTGTTGAGGCGACTGCTGGTGAAGTCCGTGCTGCTGGCGCTGGTGTGTTGGCGTAGAAAATTCGTAACGGTCGTGACGGTCGTAAGAAGGCGCGGTAGACTTTGGTTCTGTCAACTTTGCTGTCGGTTCCCCACCAGCGCAATTTGAAGCCGAGTTCGACAACGTGAGCAAGTCACCACAATTGTGGTGAGACTCGCAAAAAGAAAAAACACGTCCTAACTAGGTACCTAACCTATACACCAAACCCGTAAAAAAGAATAAGCCAAAGCCTCGGCCTCGATTTAGGTAGCGCAGATATGAGAGGTCGGCTGCAAGACTTAGGTTGATGTGCAGATGTATGTAGGTAAGTGATGTGTACGACCAAGGAACACAGCAGGGCTGCTGGGCTAAGTCGAAGAGGAGAATTAGGGAATGCAATGTATGCGGGATTGTATAGTAGGTATCTCTAGGTAGGCGGGGATAGGAATTGGTACTTCCAGATTCAAGGGGGAAGGTGTTTGTTGTGAGGGATGGTAAGATCTGGTGATGGAGGTTGTAAAGAGGGAGGCTGGGCCAATGTGGAAAATAAAGATGGCTGGTTTATGTTTGAGGATGGATATAATCGCGACGACCCGGTCGGCGGGGATGCGTAACGGCGGAACGGCGGTCTTCCAACGTGAAGACGTGAAGACGGTGAATAATCGGTAGAAAAAAGGAGTGCAACGCGTATTATGCGTATTATCGTAAATGTTAACGTCGAAGTCTTTTTTTTACAATTGTTTTGCTTTTGTCTTCCAGTCTCTCTGTCTCCCAGCCTCTCAGCGCATCTCTCCTAAAATAAAATATCCTAGCAACCGGGTGCCCAAAACGCACCACCTACGTTACCATGCAAACCCAGCGGCGACAGCAGCGCCAGCGCCGCCCTGTCGCTGGAATAACTGCAGGCTTAGCGAATGATACGATTGGGGGGGTTTGAATACTTGGATGATAAGTTTGCATTTCAATGGCTTATTGTTCAAGTAAAAATTAAGAAAAGAGCTGGCTAAGATTAAGAGACGCTCCTTCTGGACACGACATTAAGACACGACACACGAGTTGGAAGGTACGATTTGAGATGATTACTTCTTTTCCTTTCCGCTTTCTGCACGGTCGGCACGGTCCACTTTCTGTTTCCAGCTTCCAGTTTCCAGTTTCCTTCCAACTGGTCTTGCATCATTATCACTGTACATAGTAGTATTATTAAGAGACATTAAAAGAGGTGACACGGAGATTATCTATTCCAATATCTTACTTGTTTCAATAGGTTCCCTTCGCCGTTGTTTTATAACAAATAGCACCATCCCGGTTGTTGTTTGTTGTATGAAGACCCAATATGTATACATACACAGTATCACACGCAGACATCCAAATCCGAGGTGGTCCTAGGATTACATGCATTTACCTGATTTCGCAGTTGGAATCTTTCAGCAGCGATTTTACGGATTACATTGGACGAACTTTCTAGCTACATCCTATTCAATACTCGGTAGATGACTGGTCAGAATTCAACTACATCCAAATTCCCGTCTTAATGCGATAAGGTTATCGGAGTTCCAACATCTCTCCAATGAGCATCATCAAACTGGGTACCTGTTACATACTTTGATACTTTGAGGATTCCACGATAGTTGCAAAGTTGGGGAAAGGCTATGACGCCGCAATAATCCAGATCTGCCCAGCTCTCATCGCACAGTGCACATCCTCACCAAGATCGCGGAAGTGATACAATACCCAGGAAACGGGAACAAGGCAGGAAAATAAAATTCGGTGGGGGGTGGGATACCCAGGACATTTTCCGTCATTAACATCATGAGAATGTCATAACGAAAAGGTGAAGTAAAAATTAAAAAAACATATGAAGTGTGCGTTGGCAGCTTGGTGACGAAACGTTCCTTATTAGTGTCATGCAGGCACTGGTAGAGAGAAGTCCACTCGCCAAACGCTTACAGGCTCGAGATCGTCCCAAAAAGCTGGATGCACACCAACCCTAGCACTTAACCTAAAGCCCACCCATCCTGCCAGGGATCTTTTGGATATTTACCCTAGGTTTCTCCATCTGTCTCGGTTGGTTCCTGAAGATCTAGAGACATTTACATAATGCTACGACAACCAAACGAGAAGAACCCTAGCAAGTATTCAGACCAAAAAAGTATATTCAGCCTGATAGCCTCAATTTCGAACAAAATCTCATTCGAGCTTGCTCTAGCAGTAAAAGGGGCGGCTATTAGGACTTATGTAAGTTGGTCGCCATGCCATGGAATCGATGCACTAGCTATGCATAATTTGCATAGTGTGCTCTTAGTACATAAGAAGCTGAGAGCTGCAGCAAATACGAGTGGATATCCCGGCATAAATGCTTTACATACTAAACCTATGTATAAAACTTGGAAGAATTGGATCGATAGCAGACTCGATGAGCTCACCAAAAGATAAGACATCCTTCGTCTAAAGTCTACACCTCATCCCAAAGTCATCCTTAACTATCAACCTAAAGTTTGACCCGATTTGGCAAAAGCTAAGGCTTTAGATCTAACATTTTAATTGGTTGCATTTAACGGGATCCGTTTTAAGGTGAATTTTATACGATTTTAAAGTAAGTTTTTAACGTTTTTAATTATTAAAATAAAATTAAATATTTTATAATTATAACGTATTATAATTATTAAATTTTTTATATTATAACGTTAAATATTTAAGTTTTTAACGCGTTTTATTTATTTTTTATTTTATTAAATTTTATAATATTATATAAAAATATATATTTATATAAATATTAATGGTTGTGTGACATTAAGGCACTTTATTGATGATAAGGTGCTTTTATCGCCGATAAGGAAGGAAGAAATAAGATATTTAATTTTATTAAGTAAAAGGAGTCAGGTATTTACTATTATTAAAATATAAAAATACGTTATATTTAGCTAGCCTTAAATAAATTCTTCTTTTTTTAAACATTTTAATATATCAATTTTAATATTATTAATTTATTTACTATTATTTTATTATTATTATTATTATTTCTATTTACGTATATACCTATTAACATTAATTAATATTATTAAATAGTAATAATATAAATTAATAAAGTTAGAAGAATTATTATTATTTTAATTCGAAAATTTTTATTACAATAATATAAGTAATATTAATACTTTTTTTTACATTATTTCCGTAGTTTATAACAGGTTATAACTTTATTTTTTTATATAATTTATTTATATTTTTAGTAAATTATTATAATTTAAACCTTTTATTTATAAAATTATTATTATCCGTATTATTAATCTTTTTTATTATATTTTAAGAAATATAAGTAGAAAATTTAACGTAGGCGTAAATTTACGTTATATACAATTTTATTAAATAGGAAAATATAAATAAATTATATAAGTTTTTAAGCTATTTTCTTAGTTAAATATTTATATTTAATATAATATTTGATTATATGGTAATATAATAAAAAAAAATCGATTTCTAAATAACTACGCTTAAATAGAAAGTAATATAAGCATTTTTTACATTAGTAGATTTTAAAACTATTAATAATAAAATATTATATATACGTTTAACCAAGGAAGTAATAGTTAAATATTAAGAACAATTTAAAAGATTTACGGTAAATAATTTTAAAATATTATCAAAATAATTATAATTAATATTACAAAACGTATTAATATAAAAAAACATTTATATAAGAAAATATAACGTTAATTATATAAAGATATTTATTAATTTTATATTATTACATAATTTATTTATATAAAATATTACCGAGTTAAAAATAGTAAAGGTAAAGTAGCTTAACGCGTTAATATAAAAAGTTTCGGTTTATAAAACCGAAAAAAATCGGTGTATCTTACTACACGCGCGTTTATACAGTTATAAACGTTAACATAACAATATTAAACAATTTTTAACCTATAGATGCCAATATACACGATTATATTTATAAGATAAGCTTTAATATAAAATATTACGTTTTAAGCCTTATTTTTTTCCAATTTACAATACGTATTATTTATTTTATAATTAAAATAAACATTGCCCTTTATTTTTAATTAACCTTTATTAATTTTTAACATTTTACTATTAATTTAATAATTAAAACTTATTTTCCAACTTTTTAATTAATTACCGTTTTTAATATATATTTTTTTCTTTTTTTTTATATATTTAATTCGAATTTATTATTACGAATTATGTTAAATTATTTACAATAATTTATATAATTTTAATAAAGCAATTAAAACAATATTTAGATATTATTTAACCTTTTTTTCCTTTTTTTATTGGCTTAATAAAGGCCATTTATATTTCCTATAGAATAATAAAGGTATAATTTAGGGTATAATTTTGGATATAAAACTAACTAAGCGTAGCTTTTTTTTTTAATTACAAGAAATACATTTAGACCT